TAGGATCTCGTGGTCTTGGGGCTGTGCTTGTGTTATGGTCCTCCGCCCCAGGCGTCCAAGAACAGCGTTTCATTAGGGACATATTTCACTGAAGGGTCCCAATGCATTGATCTGGCATGCTTCGATTAGAAAATTGTCACAAGACAGAATTTCCACCGGTTGCATCCTTCCGCTTGCCCTACCGTGTACGCTGGTATCGCCTCGTTGTGGTAAAACCGAATGTTTTGACCCAATTATGAGTCAGCTCATCTTGAATATAACCCGCGGTGTCCTTTAACCGATGCACACTTAAAACATTACAGTAATTTCAGCATCTAGCTTTGAGGACTTCCCATTCACAGTTGGCTATGAGTTAGACACTACGTGGGCCAAACTGCCAACGCAACCCACTCTATTGCCTCTTTGGTTGTCATTCCCCGGGTCTTCTCATAGAAATCACTCTCAGCTACCTGATATCTTATAAATGTGTCTACATGCTATCCAGCCTTGCTCCTACCGGAATGGTAAACCGTTGAAATCGGCGGGGCATTTGATCTTCTATGCCAAGGTTGTGTGCAGTACTCAACAAGTTAATAGAGATGTTCAGCTGGCCGACGCGGCGCTAGGGGAGATTTTACTTTCTTAACTGTTAGCCAATTCCCAAGCATGTTGTAAGCCGTTTGGATGAAACATTGAGAGATCAGAAGACCAGGTGGCGAGCATACGTAGCTTTCGATCAATTCTCCTCGGGCCGGTGGAATTATATGGGAACGGGGTGGAAGCCAAAACATATCAATGATAAGAGAAATCGATTAAAGTCCGTCTTAAAACACAGTCAGAGTGTGGCAATATGGGGTTGGAGGTAATAGCTGTCGGTGCCAGGGGCGAAGTGAGGGCAGAGGTGGGCGGAGAGTCGCAGCGTCGGTCTACCTTCGACCACTGTTGGTGCAGAGCCTGAACGTGGTTCTTCTGTGCGCATAAGATTAGTTTTCGTAACCTGATGGCGGCCGCTTCTGCCGTTACTAACAGGCGTTGACCCAATAGCTTAGAGTAGCTTGATGGGATCATCTAAATCACACGAAAAGCTTCGCTGGGGTCCACACGATGTCCGGAACTAATAACATGGGGGAGAATGTCGCTGCTTATTTTCCCTAGTTTCGCATTTTCCCAGCCATGCCGGGAGGGGTTCTCGTATTCTCTTGGATAGGCGCTGACTTGTGCGACCAATATAACCTGCTTCATAGGAGCAAGTGAAGGAATAGATGCACATTTATGTGGTCTAGAGTGGCAACTTATCGTTACCTTCTCAGCGTAAATTAGGGTGAGTAGAAAACGATATTCGAACCCTTGCTGCTGAGGAGATTCGCGAGACAGTATGATCAAGTTGTCTCCTTAGAAGTTCATTCGCAGCGTCCCCTTGAAAAGGGACTTTGAGGAAACAGGTTTTCTTTTCGGCAGTCGGTGTGGTGTGTTTTAATGATCGTTCAGTCATGTTCTTTGCAATAAACCTGTCGGGATATCCGTTTTCGCGAAACAAGTCCCCGAGTTTTCTAAACTCCTTCTCAACGTTGTCTTTAAAACAAAGTTTTCTAGCTTTTTGCGCTAAATACCGGGCTAGAATTCGTTTTTGTTGGGGAGGCACAACACTGGCGAAGTTCTTGTATTGTCTAGACCAGGTTTTCTTCCGATAGACGTTCCTTCAGACGCTGCCGTCAGGTTTACTGCCTAGAAGAGCATCAACGAAAGGAAGCGAACCGGCCGTTTTCATCTCGAACGTAAATTTGATCAACAAATGTGCCTGATTAACAACAATTAAAAGGGTAGCTACGTCGGTTTCTACGGTGGCAATTGTTAAGATATCATCAACATAGCGACCGGGATGGTTAAGCCTATCGATTTTCTCGCTCAAATGGGAGCCCTTCAGTTCGCCCATGAGGATATCAGCTATGAGAGGTCCAAGAAGCGAGGCCATAGCAACGCCGACTATTTTCCTATAGAGTTAGTTGTCAAGAAGGAACTGCACCTTCTTAATGATAATTCCTTGAGTGTGTTCGTTGACATTCCTATTTCTTGCTGATTAGTTGCGAAATGTCCCCTTGCATAGTATTTCCATGTAATTGTGCGTCCATACGTATGTTTGGCTGAAGCCGAACACAAAATGACTTGGAAAACGGAATAAATCGAGGCACCACGGTCCTAAAATGTATCCTTACAGTGATAACTACTTCCTCAGTATATGTCACTGAGTTATTTGGCACCAAACACACGTATACTTTCTGGCGAGGATTTGAGATGTAGGCCATTGGGAAGTTAAGTTGCAAGGACTACTGTAATACGAGGAGGATATTAATAGTAGTTTAGTCATTAGGACGCGACAAAGATCAGAATCTGTGGAAGACATTGAGGAAAATCGCACCTCTGCATATGATTGATTTATTTCTTCAATTAAACGCCTAAACAGATTTGGCAACTTGAAAGATGCGAATTGGGAGCGTGTAAACGGTCGGAAAACAGGAAATCCGAGGTCAATGATTAAAGAAGGCCGGGATGGGTAGTGCAGTACGCGGCAGGTAAACCTAATCCTAGACCTAACCCTAAGGCTGGTCATTTTCTTGAGCTTAACCAGCGACCCAACCCTTGTATCACATGGACATCTAAATCAGGTAAGTGGGTATGGCACAATGAGAAACACTTAGGCCTACATATTCAGTCATCCCATATTTCCTTATAAGTTATCTGAAATTAACAGGTCATAGATTTATAATTAGTAAATTAATATGATTCGCAAATTATCATTTGCCTCGGAACTTCCGTTTTCTGTCCTGCGCTTAGGCCAGATCAGTCTATGGTCACAATTCTTGTGCATGAGTAATTTCGATTGCGGCAGACGGAACATCAGCATTAAGCTGCACTCGGATTCAAGTGTCACGTCCTTCTGACACTGGTCCGTGGTCAACGTAACTGACAAGTCCAGTCTCACATGTCTGGGCATGCAGAAAGGCCTAATTAATTAACGCACTTTGCAAATGACAGTGTGGTGGCAATTTGACCCTTGGCTGGTGACAGTGGACCTCATTTTCCCTATGCGGCTTCAAACCCGTAGTTCTGCTTGAACCAGTTGATGTCGGAGTCTGGGGCAGAATTCACGATGCCAGTTACTTTGGGCCGTCCGGAAGAATTTGCATTCGTCGCCTTTTGGTGTCGTGCAGAGCTCCTCTGGTGCATATGCCTTCCTGTTTTAGCAACCCACTTTCCAGCTCGGCTCAAGCAAGCGCACTAAGTTGGAATCGTGCAGAGGATTCGGCAGATACTTTTTCAGGGCTCGTATACACGAGTGGCGAGTTATTCCCGTTCTGCGAATCCTTGACACGACAGGAGTTCCAGAAACATTGAGCGGGAAGAACCATTTGCTAAGGTCGCAGGTTTAGCTATTAGTTTTATCATCAGAAATGACAAATGGACCGAAAATGTAACCTTATAAAAGACTATTCTCAGGGATGAACGCTTCCTACTTACCCTTGACGGTTCTCCCTTTCTAACTCACCCGGACTCTGCTAATGAAGTTTCGAAAGCACGATCGGAGTTCAGTCTCCTCTTTTATGCAAATCCCGCCTATACCTACGGGTTTTGATATTTGAGCATTAATATTAATGGCCATGATTGTCTGCCTGAGGCGGAGCTTATGATGGAAAGGCAGACTCAAGGTCAAAAAATGAGAACCGATTACGTAACGGAACACTAGGTAAGTGAATAAGGGTATACGGGGTTGCTAACAATTCGCCAGTTCGCCCTGTTTTGATTGGACAGGAGAAGGTCAAATAATTGCTTGGAAGGACGTCAGCGCGGATAAGTAGTGTGCATATTCCTGAAAAATGAGAGCGATTGGTGAACAATCAGGCAAACCTATCTTAAGAATAAAGTTTCTTGGTCAGGTATTCTGCTTTTCCAGCTTACTCAATAGGTTAAACAATCGTTAATTGCTGTTATGACAGCAAACATTATTAAGCACTTGAGAATTCAAAAAAACTGTGTTTACGGAATAGAAAAACAGTACGCTTTAGAAATAGAACCAAAGTCAACTGTTAGTTGAGCAATTTACATAAGGAACCATTATATATTACCGATCGCAACCAAAAGGGCAACGGTGGTTAGAGTCGTGGACTTCTAACTAACAGGTCGCGAGTTCGAGCCTCGGGTGTTCCACACTTCGCGGTTGGGTATGACTGGCTGAAGACGGCTAACAAGCCAGAAATGGCCATCCCAGTCTCCCTTGTCTTTGTCGGTAATACATTTCTGCCTATATCACGCGCCGCTGTGCGGCTGCTGGTTGGACTCGAGAAAGAGCCCGTAAGGCGCAACGGAACGAGTGAGTTCCGTAAGCATGATCGGTGAAAGCCCCCTTCCATAAGGGACCATTTTCATTTCTGCGGGATTTCGTCTTTTTTGACTTGCAGTGCCCAGAGTAAGGGAAAAATGATGAAGGACTAGACATGAGATTTGAGAGATGTGTTTAATTGAATTTTAAACATAAACAGCAAGTTTTTAGTCCCGGTTTGATTATTCTCTCACGTGCATGCGGGGATACTGATTGCACATCGACTAGGCAGGTGGTTAAACAGAGGTTTTAAAAATGCTGTGCCACGTTTAGATGAACTTTCGTCCATTTCGGACTCTCGCACTGCAGATGCTAGTGACTCTGTTAAACCTGCTGGTATTATTTTGTTGATTCTTGTACAAGCTTCTTAGTGCCAGAAAAAACTCTTCCCTGCTACCCAAAATTTCTCTGGAATCATTCTGGTTTCCACTACGAGGCCGTAAAAGCGTGATCAATGAGCTGTGCTCTTGAGGTGCAAATAATCCAGCTACTATGTCTGTTAAAGTAGCATCACATATGCAGTAATTAATGTTCAAGTACTACATCGCGGCCCGTTCTAACAGGCACCTCGGAAGATGGAAACCCCAATGCTACCTGTAAGATTCTACACCGACTTTATCCTCACCTATACTCCACGGGATGATGAAGGAATGCCCATGCCACCTTGGATGGACGCGATTCCTCCGGTTCTACCGTATGCCATTGGACGTGGCTCAACTTGGTATGCCGCCGACCTAAACATGGCTATCGAAAACTACACTGACTACTGCGTACCCATCTTCAAGCCGGCCAGCTACTTTCCCTGCGCCTTCGTCAACGTCAATTCCACGGCCTACCTAGTCTCCCCAAAGGAGTACGGCTATGGTCCATGCTGTGTCTACCGACCAAACTGGTCAATTCCACATCGGGATTTTATGCGGGCGTTTGCGGATCATTACAATGGATCAACGGAGAGCGTGGGTCATGGCGTCCTCAATCAGACTGTTGACTGGTGGGTCATACCTGAGGATACCGATCTCCTCTTTCGATCCAAAAAAGTAAAGGGCCATCCGGTCTTTGGTGGTTTTGGATGGGCTCGTAAACCGATGCCTAGGTAAGTTTCGGAAAATCGCAATGCTCTAAATACACTCCTGCCTTAATGAATCTGTCTCACCCTATCTGAGGTTGTTTGTTATTTTTCCACTTAATGGCTTACATCCCTTCAGTGATCAGCTGTGTACGGAATGTTAAATCCACTTCAGTTATTTCAGACCATTGTGATTAAGAAAACGCACAGAACAGTCAGTATAAGGAGAAACGCGTGAGGTTTCACGATCACTATTCAGTCAGACGGGAGGTGAAAGCATCGAACTCGAACCGCTAATCAGTCTTGACTTGGAGCGCTGTTGTTTATATCGGGACTTTTGCAGGACAAAACAACGTGAATTCTTAGTTCATTGTGACTGTTAGTTATCATAAAATCTACCGAATCACTGAATAACGGTTGTAACTGAACTAAGGGGGTGTAAAAATATAACAAGTAGCCTTCGCTGAACTGGTGGACTTCCTCGTATGGAAATGATCACGCCATTCTCCGGTCTACTAATACCCATTGTCGAAGTTTGGCTCCCAAGGGCACAAGGCCAGAGAAAATGGGTAAGGGCTAGGGAGAGAGAAAGAGAAAGATGGATACCAGGCAACGCTTAAGTTACTGTTTTAGCATATAAGTAATATATATTTTTTGGGACTAGTGCCAACTAAGAAAACATACAATTAGAGTAGAGAGAGAAACAATGGAGGAGTCGATTGTCAGATTGACAAACTGTTGATGCTGACGCCGACTTAGCAACATTTAGGCAGATCGACGTCATTGGCATTCCAGCAACTTCCCCGACCGCGCTGAATACCGGGTGCTAAAACGCACTTCGCACAAGATGGACCGGTAGGGACGGAGGTACAGAGAGAATAGTGGTTTCAGTTTGCTCATGTCATCTTTAGCTATTCATCTGACTAACCGACATCTGGAGCTCGGAAGCATGGTGGTGACCCCGTAACTAAATGCGGAATCCATGAGCTGCCATTGTAGGGGCGATAGCGCTATTTTGAAATTTGATGTGCACAATCACAGCTAAATTTAACAGCTCCGCAGGCAATTGCAATGTACTCGAATAACAGGCTGTATGAACATTACGAAGGCCATGTTCCCTGCTCTTCAGTTTAGCAACTGCGTAAGCAATCAATCACTCATACTACTTATTACTGGCGTTTCATTGAAGCTCATCATTCCCACGTTCTTTTTACTTTTTTCATAGTGGTTACCGACCATATGTCACCTTCTGGTACGAAGGTGATATCGGGTGGGCTGATCAGGTGTTCGACAACTTCACTGATACCGGACCGCATACAAAGTATTTAGAGACGTATAAGCTGCCCGAAGAGTGCTACACCGCCTTGACCTGCCTATACGACTAACAACATTTAATCTGAGGACTCAGACAGAAGGAAAAATTTCGAGGCTCCAATACATTTTTGTTGAACATATGACTGATCTTTTTTCCCAAATCGCCTCAACTTTGTGCGACTGTGTTACAGGCACGTTCAGGCGCTCATGGTACCCTGCATGTGAAGCAGAAATGAGCCCTTTTAGGTAGTGACCTTCTAATTTAAATATCGAGCTTGTACCTTTTTGCACGTGGGACCAAATTTGAAATAAATCAGTAACATTTGCTTAAACAATTTTTACGTTTTGGATTGGGAGATAAATAAAAGTTTGCTCAGGCTGTACGCTCCTCTCGTGACGGTCACATGCTTGTCTTCTGCTTTTAACGAGCAAGTTTACCGGCAAAACATTCGGTGGAAGAATAGTCGGGTGAGAATCCGAAACGTCAGGCAAATAAATGTCTTGTTCCATTGATCGCATCTTTGACTTCTGATAGTCCGACTGTCGGTTCGCATCTGTCCCTGACAATCCTGGAGGGGGGAGTTGGAAACCCCACATATGTCGACAATGAAATGCCCTACAAATGTCGTCTGTCCCCGTTAGATCAACCAGGGTGTTTCTGCCGTCTCTTCCGACAACTGACACAGTAGATGTGCTATCTCATGAAATGCTAAACAAAATTCGAAAATGTGTCTTCGATCAGAAAGGACTACTTAAATAGAGTTGTCAGAATAATTTACGTGCAGCATGATCACTGCGCACTTCAGTCAGCTTTTAAATCAACTTCTTTTCGACCGCTTGCAAAAACTACACATCATAAAAATGACACCTAAGTAGCAGGAAATATTCCTATTGATTTTCGATGCCCCTACAAATTCGAATTCATACTATAGAAAACATGCGCAAATAAACCTAAGTTTATTTGATAGCGCACTCGAAAATGGGGCATTTTTGGTTTTAAAGTTTTTTTACTTATGGGATTGTTCAAGACTGTGAAATGTCTATTCATATGGCATTGTGTCTGTCCATGTACTAATGCTCCTTGTGAAGTACACAAAACATGGTCCCTATCCACCGCAAAATTCTTCAAACTGTGTGACGTCTTCCCAATAGCATGTATATTAGATTTGTTAGTTCATTAAGCGTTAACTGAAATTTTGAAATGCGTCGTAATGTTCTTTACCATGCAGCATAATCCCAGACATAATTCAGGCACTTCAGGACGCCCACTTTTGAAAAAAATCCTTTTCCAGCCGCCTGCAAAAAACCATAATCTGTAAAATGGCCGCTTAAATTACATGAAATTTTCTAACTTATTTTTGATGTCCATATTAATGCAAATATATCTCATTAAAAAACGAAAGTAATACCCATTATTTTACTTTCTTGGGGGAAAATTACGTCTTCTTCAAGGTTTATGCGTAAAAGAGGGGTGACGGTTGGTTTAAATAAAGTTTCTAATTAAGAAGTGTTTTTAAAACCATGAAATGCCCGTTCACAAAACACCGTGCCTCTGAATTTACTAGCGATTCTTCTTTAATTTACACTATGGTCCAAGTCTACTGATAAATTTCATGAACCCCATATGATTTTCTCTTAATACCGCATAGAAATGTATGATTTTCTATACACGGAAACTTTACAGCTGGTAGTTTGGAAATCACGAATGCGAACGTAACGGCAGGTCGTGTTCACTACAGCACGGTAATCAGAAAAGTTTTTAAAACCGAATTATATACTTCCTTCAAGTGTAAAATTCAAAGAAGACGTGATCTGCTACCAGATAAGCACAGACAGAATGAAGGCGAAATTTCGAGTTCCAGGGTTATGCGTAAGTAAAGAAGAAGAGTCGAGCACCGGAACACTTTGCTTATTGTCCTGAGCTTTCAGACTCGTACACGAGTCCATCGTCGGGGGTAGTAACAACAACAGAACAAGCGACAGTTATAAGGCATATAGACCAATCACCGACTGACGGTGCAAAACTGGAGGTGACTACGCAGGGCTCTGTACGCCGGCGCCAGATTGACAAATCGATTGACTGAGTCCTCATCCGAGGCCCAGGCTTCAATCAATTCTCGGCCTGTTTTGTTTCCGGTGTGGGCGACTATTTTGGTGGCTGCGAAGTCAAACTCGTGACCCATTTCGTAGGTGTAGGTGGCCACCTGTGATAATGCGTCGCTTCGTCGCACAGCCAGCTTATGTTCGTGTATGCGCGATCCGAGCATACGTCCAGTCAGTCCTGTGTAGTTACAAGGCCAATTATGACACGGAATGCGATACATTACTCCAGATTGCTCTTCAGGCTTTAACCGGTCTCTGATTTACATGACCCTATTGCGCATGGTG